AAAACAACTTATTTAGCCTGCTCCATGAGTGTACTCCCTCAAAAAGAAGCCCCAGCTTTCCCCTGAAGAAAGGAAGCTATTAATTCTGTAGTACTTTGCATAAGTTTGGGCTTTGCTAAGAATTATTAAATCGAACTGTTTACTTCATAATCTTCCTGAAAATTTGCTCCAGCTAATATGCATCCTCCTACTCCAAGTTTTTGTTTAATGACATTATTCTGTCAATTAATAAATACTTCAAGGTACTGATTCCTAGGAGGCACACATATACTCCTCCCATCTTTCCAAAAGAGCAGTACATACAGAGAAGTAAAGGATCTATTTTACTAGTCTTTGTATCCTGCCTATTGCCTTGTGAGAAGTGGTTTTAGTATAAATATTGCTGAAAAGAAGTTTAAAAGAAGTGAATTTTTTAAAAGGTAAAAGAAGCAAAGAAAAATAAAACAGCAAAAGCAACTAAGTATCTGTTAAGAAAGAAGAAAGAGAAATGATCTTCAATTCCATGCAACTTTGCAAAATAAAAATCAAAAAAGATAAATTTAAGACATGAATGCTTAGCAAGGTGGAATGCTAAAATGTGCTCGGAGACCCCTCTCAGGTTCCCTGCAGCTCTTTTCTGCCCGGGCACGGAAATGGCCTCAGGAAGCATGGTCTGAAAGGACCATCCCTCACCCTGACTTAGATCTCCTCCCAGGTCTCCATATCCATTTGTATCAGCCCAGAGAAGAAAGAAACAGTGAGCTTATATGGAAAGTTCAATTATTACATTCAGAAATCTGTTCTCTACTTTCTCTGACCATCATAATGCCAGTAAATCCATTCCTAAATTTTCATCTTTTCCACTTAGTAGATTAAAAAGAAAATCTTTACAATACACTAAAAACTAGTCTGGGAATACTATTTCAATTTAGAATGATTAAAGTGGCTCATTCGTCACTGTTACGTGTAACTGATAGCCTCTTTTGATGGACCAAAAACTGGCTTAAAGCCACTAGTAAAGTGTCAAATATGTTCTAAATAAATGAAATAGTTGGCATTAAATTGACCTACTTAGGAAGAAAGGGTAAACTTTCCTAAGATTATTCTTGGAAGGAATAGGAAGGAAGCAATGGTGTGTATATGTGTGTGTGTGTGGGGGGGCTAAATAAATGAGAAGATAATCAGAAAAGTCAATAAATTTGAAAAGCATATGAAATCAAATTGACCAAAACACAGAAAGGTTATTTACACTAAGAGTGTTCACAGGGGAAACTCACACTGCAGTGATTCTTACAGGGTCAGGATAAAAAATATACACATAGCCCTCACAATTGAGTAGAAAGGTGCCGATAATAACATATTCAACAATTAGAGATCAAAAGAGCATGGCAAAAAAATCATCAATAAGCAAAGTAAGCACACAAAGCATTTCTTCTTTACATGTGTTGAAGACTCTACATGGCTCTGGAAACCAGAGGTTTTCTTCTGTAAGGAACACAACCCTTCCTTCTAGATCTGTCAGGTTCTTTTTCTTTAAATATTTATTCCAACTCTGTTCTTTGCCACAATTAGTAAAAGCACTGAATCAACACTCTTCTGCAGCAATAAAAGGAAATCAATGTCAATGGACGGGTCCACCTGATCCCCTTAGATGGTTCCCTCCTCGATGTTTTTGCAAAATGAAAAACCTGGGAATGATTCACAATTGGAGAAACCAAAATCCCCAGTGCTATTCTTTTTCTTCTTGCCTCAAAAGGAAGAGCCAACCTCAGCTGCACAGATAATGGGTGCACAGGAACACCAAACGCACCTTCCCAAATAGTAAGAGAAAGCCACAATGGTCTTTCTGCATACTGAACTCTCAATAAAGAATAACGATACAAGCAGCATGAAGAGCACTCCTCAGCCTGGCTGCTACTAAGTGAATATCCTCTCCTCACAGCTAATTACCTACTCCTTTCTATTTGACATCATTCATCAGCCGGATTAAAGAAGGTCATTTTGCATCATGTGAAGAAGGCAGGCTGAAGATAGTACAATCGGAGGCAACGAAATATTCTTACATGTTTTGCGGAAAGCTGTAGGCCGGCAAAATAGCCGCATCCCATACAGGTCAGTGGGCACCCAGTCCCTTTACTGCTACTCATTTCACTGTTCGGAAGATCAGCACAACTGAAGTTGCCAGTTAACAGACAGACTGGGTCCTGATTATTTAAAAAAAAATGTCTAGAACGATTCTGCCAGGTCATGGAGCCGGCCCAGCAGCTGCCCAGTTGCTGGTCTCGGAGCCAACTGTCTGTTTTGTGGAGTCCTCTGCGCGGCTCAGACATGAAGACGTTATAACTGGACAGTTCTGGAACTTTCTCAGCACAGTGCACTGTGCATGGAAACTGGCTCTATATCACTTATTGTCCACGCTCCAAAAAACAACAAGGGTTTATGATTGAATATCGGATCGGTTTATTTCACAGACAACTCTTCTCCCTGAAAAATGTTATTATTATTATTTTTTTAAAAAAACCCTTCCAGCAACCCAACCCTGTTAGATAAAAAGCACATCAAATAACTGAAGTTATGCATTTTCATCTTTGTCTCTTGTGCCCTGCTTTTCCTGGCTGCTCTTTATCCTCTTACTGTTCAACCGCTCCAATTTAGGAAAAAAGAAAAGAAAAAGCAGAAGCAGTTGGCTCTGTGCGATTCCTGGGCTTCTGCAGAACCTGCAGCTCTCAGTCTCTCCTCCCTCCTTTCTCTCTGCCTTCCCCTCCCTTTCCAGCCTTATTAGATTCAGATCTTCACGTCGCACTGGAACATCATTCAAGCCTTCAGTAACAGGAGGAGAAGTTCAGTGCAGCCTGCGGAGACGGATCCGGTGTTCCTTTGATCCATGCTGCGATGTGGGCATCTCGGTCCCAGATTCCTAGATGGCAGGCTTGCCCTTTCCACCACCTGATTTTGCCGCCCCAGTCCTGGCAGCGTCATCTTCAGTCTTTCTGGCTCATTCTCAGTCTGCGTTTAACTCGGTCGGTGCAATCCGAGAATCTAATCCTGGCAACAAAGCCAGGAGCACAAATCCACCGTGATGAACTGGTCCGCCAGCTCCCCACCCACTTCCTCTCCCCACCGCCACTCGCTTCTGAAAAGGCAGGCTTGGGGGCCGAGAATCAACGCATCCAAGGCGAGGGGGCAAAAAGCGCCTGAACACAAGTGTCCAGGAGTAGTATATGATTTGTTATTTGTTTATGCAGCTATCTTTTAAGCATCAAGACCCAACAAATAGGAACTCAAGCCGGTCAAGCAAGGGTGGGAACGTCGTCCACCGCCTTGCGCTGCCCAGACAGCTCTCTCTGCCCCCGGCGCGCCCTCCCCCACCCGGCGGGACGGAGCGAGCGCCGAGGTGAGCGCGGGTTTGTCTGGCACTTGGAAATGGGATCCAACTTAGGAGAGCACGCGGGAGCAGCGGGGGAGGAGGAGAGGGACTCCTCGGTCGTCAGCGCTGTCCGCTCCCTGCCCCGCACCCGCGGAAACCAGAAGGGGAGCCGGGTCGGCGCGTGGGAGGCGGCGAGAGGGGGCTGCGGCCCGGGAACAAGCGGCCGGGAGCTGGGCCCTGCAACCGGGTCGGCCGCCCACTCGGCGGAGGCAGGCGCCTCTCCTCTCCCAGACCCCAGGGACATCTCGCTGAGGACTGCAGTCCCTCTGGCTCTCCACCGCGAGGCAGGGACACTCTCCCCGCGCTTCTCGGTCTGCCCCCAACAATGCCCGGAGCTTCAGCCTCAGGATGCCCCCTCCAGTGCGCGAGAGCCTCGGCACACACGCGCGCGCGCACACACGCACACGCACGCGCACACGCACACGCGCGCACCATCGCAGCCGACCCGCGAGGTCTGGTGGCTGCAAACTCCCGCCACCCCCGCATCCTTGCCCTAAGCGCAACCCCGCCCACCAGAGTCTGGTGGCGAAAAGTGAATTCAGGTTGCCTTCGGTGCAGTCCGACCGTGTCCAGTGCCCAGCCGTATCGGAAAGCACACAGGACAAAAGTCAGCCAGGGAGGAGGGTGAATGCAGAAAACAGCACTGCTAAAAATACCCGGCTCGCCGCCGCGCGCCAGCCGGGCGGATGCACTTTAGCTCAGCGACCCCCACTGGCCAACGCAGCTCACTCAGCCCGCGCGGAGCGGGAGCCTCGCCGGCTCCCGGCTCCGGGCTCCGGCCGCTCCCTCACCAGGGTCCCGCCCCGCGCACGCCGACCGGCGGGAGTGCGCGCCGACCCGGAGCGAAGGAGCTGAGTGCCTGGCTGGGGCGCCTTCCCGCTCCCATCCCGTCCGCAAGAAGGTCGGCCCGCACCCCGACAGTCAGACCCAGACCCCCGCCGTTCTCTTTCTACCGACCAGCAGCCGCCCCCCCGCCCGCCAAAAATCGCGCTCTCCTAAGGTAGACCTCCTGCGCTTCTCCCGGAGAGCCGTAGGAGTGCCTCTGCGCGGCCGCTCCGAAGAGGCTGCCGGCCCCGAGCCCAGGGCCGCTGCGCAGGAGCACCGCTCCCTGCCCGCGGTCCCTGCAAGCCCGCGTCGGGCAGGGGGCTCGAACCCCGGACTCCCTGGCACCACTTTCGCCTTTGCTGGTGACTGTGGAGGCTGGGCTGTCTGATCTCACGGCATCGGGAACAGCAAGCACCCAGCTTGCGCCTCCGGGTCCCCCAAGTGCCTCCGCAGGCATCTGAACGCTCCCCTTGCGCCCGACGAGCACCGGACACCCCGTCAGCTCAGCCTGGTTTCTGGGCCACCTGCGGCCGGCCCCGGCGCGGGGAGGAGGCCGGGGATGGGTGCAGATCCGCTGCCCTCTCCCCGTCTCCCGAGCTTCACGTCAAGCTCGGCCAACTCTCCGAGCGCCCTCCCGGCTCCCGCCGCGGGCCCAGCCTCCGCTCCACGCGCTGTAAAGTTTCCCCGCCCGCCGCGCAGCCCTCGCACGCGGCCGCTGCCCGGCTCCGAAAGGCGCGCTCGGCCGCGCACGGTCCAAGTCCGCACGCACCCTTGCCTGGCCGGCGATCCGTCGCTCCCTGGCGCTTCCCGTCTCCTCCGGCGCTCTCGCGGGGGCCGCCGACC